GGGCCAACGCGAGGGCCAGTCCTACCATCGTCCCCATACGCTTCCTCAAGGCTGGGCAGATTCACAAAGATAGACTCAACAACGTCGCATACGCTCCATCTATGCTAGACTCTGCGAAGGACTGGTTACTAGCGGCTGACCTGCCTGGCCATGAAAGGTACCCTGAGTTAATCCGGAAGACCGACCTGAGACCTGACATAGTTCTCCACTCTGCGGAGAAACGTCAGCTCATCCTGACTGAGCTGACCGTGCCGTATGAGTCGCGAATAGACGAAAGCCATATGTATAAGCTCGAGAAATACAGTGACTTAGCAGCCGGTCTGGGAAGGGATGAAGCGTACACAGTAAGAGTCTTAGGCCGTCGAAGTAGACGCAAGAGGTCTCGTTTCCACTTCACTTTACAATGTGGTTAAACAACTAGGCTTACGAGGTAATGAACGCAAACGGACACTTAAACAGCTGGCGAGGTTGCTGAGAGGGCCTCGAGCTGGCTGTGGACACAACGGAACAACGTAGGAATCGGGACTCGGTGAGCTGGTCCAGGTGTCTAGTGGAAAAGAGTTTCTCATCCCCTAAAGTCCATCGTGTCCGAATTGTCTGCCAATTGTCCAACATGTGTCCGGTTAACCAATCGTAAGCTTGCCGCTCGGTCGTCCATGTATGCAGACTGCTTTAATTATGCTACCGCGACGACTTCTTATCTCACAGTACCTTTTGCAAATCACCAATTCGTCTTGTCCCTATCCGAACAACATTCGGTAATTCTTGCAGCAGGGGAAACCTACCCTGAGCTTCATGAACTCAGGTGGGCCCACTCTCTGAAAATGTCTAGGAGCTCGTGGACCGAAACATTTGTCGACGAGAGGTTACTTCTACTGATGATTGGTAGAACCCTGCTGTACATGCTGACCTGTGGAGTTTCTTCTTATTGTACGTGGCTAGCCCACAAGACAACCAGGAAAGGCTGGTGACTATCGAGAAAAGAAAGACCTTGTGACACCTATGGAAAGACTGGCGCCCCGATATCGCCGGGGGGATAAACTGACATCTGGAGACAGATGTCGACTGTGGACCAGGTTGTTCACCCCTAACACAGTATAATACCTCTGATTTCGCGAACCAATAAAGAAGTATGCCAACAGGGTCCATCGAAAGAGGGGGAGAATGAAGGGCCCAATCAAATTGATACAAACGGTGACGACAATGCTAGCCCCCGGACTCCGATTCTTGCTCAAAGTCCGGGCTGGCTCTGTACATGTGGAAAAAGCTTCACGGGGCTGCATGGTCTGAGAACTCATGCCGGAAAGATGAAATGCGAGGGTGCTCCCCGCAGTAAACGCCGTCGCAAAACTACTACTCCTGTGGTAGTTTCTGAGTCGTTAGAGAACGACGGGCAGGGTGTACCCCGCTCGCCCGGAGAGGCATAAGACGTTGACTGCTGAGGTGCACATTTGATGATTCCCGAAGAAGTGCGTTCCAAGATCAGGTTTCTACCTGCGAGAGATTGGGTGTCGTGGTGCAAGTTAGATAGTACATTGTGTGAGAATGTAATTCATGATTTAAAAAAGAAGTATTTAGGCGACAAGCTTTATACAATTTGGTAATGTAATATACGAGCACTGTTCCCGCGAGTTCAGGACAGTGGAAAAGGCGCCGCCGGGCGTCATGCAGAATATTAGCAGGAGACAGGGACATTCTGAAGTGCCGGGCAGACAAAAATGCTCTCAGAAAACGGTTCAAAGCCGCTCCAGCAGCGAACGGGAGACGCTGCTTGAAGTCTGGTTGCATTTAAGAAACAGACACAGTGCCCCTGTCGCGCTGAGCATTTCTGTAACAATAGACGGAGAACCAAATGGGAGTGAGAGAAATTCTTTAGGGACCCGTTTTAATTTGCCCGAGGTCTATTCGAGCAACCGAAGTCTGGGACTCTGGTTGTCAGTAAAGAGGAGCTTGAGTCACATTTACGCAAAATGTACTCTGACGAAAAGAGGAATGAGACTCTTGATAGCAATCCAGAGATACTTAGCGGCGTTAAGCAGCCTGAGTTGCCGAAGGTATCATTTAAAGTGATACCTCCCTTGGTCTGAGGCTGAGGAAGTTGTGAAAAGAGCCAGCGGCAAGTCTGCTCCAGGTCCAAACGGTGTTCCGTACGTTCTTTACAAGCGTTGTCCGAAAGTCCTACGAATGCTTCACGTCTTGTTGAGACAAGCGTGGAGCCGAAAACACATATGTCTAGAGTGGCAACGGGCCAACGGGGTCTACAGTCCCAAAGAGCAGGACTCGAAGAGTCTTTCCCAATTCAGGCCTATCTCGCTGTTGAACGTTGAAGGTAAAATATTCTTCTCGGTCATGGCTCGCCGGCTCACACAGTATCTGATGGCGAACAAGTACATCGATACGAGTGTTCAGAAAGGTGGAATTCCGGGCGTCCCTGGGTGCCTTGAACATGCGACCATGATTTGGGAGTCTATCAAGAGAGCCAAGCATGAGAGAACTGATTTGCACGTTATATGGTTGGACCTAGCCAACGCCTACGGGGCAGTCCCTCATAGGCTATTGTGGCAGGCCCTTCACATGTTTCACGTACCGGCACAGATCAACGAAATGATCGAGCAATATTTCTCTAAGTACGCTTTGCGCTTCCAACCCTGAGCTTCATGAACTCAGATGGACCGAAACATTTGTCGACGAGAGGTTACTTCTACTGATGATTAGTAGACCCCTGCTGTACATGCTGCCCTGTGGAGTTTCTTCTTATTGAAGACATAACAGACGTGTACGAGTAGGTCTAAGTTTTGAAAACAGAACAGACTTGTACGAGTATGTCTAAGTTTGAAGATAGAACAGATTTGTGAGTGTAGGTCTAAGTTTGAAGACAGAATAGACTTGTGAGTGTAGGTCTAAGTTTGAAGACAGAAGAACAGACTTGTGAGTGCCGAGAAACAAATAGATCATTACGGTCTGAGGTGAATGGCACTGCGAGGAGTTACAACGGGATTTGGTCGACGCTCGACACTCGGGGAAAAGGCGAGACGGATATACAAGTAGACAGTTACTGGTTTCATCGAAATTTTAACTCTTCGCTTGCTGCTGGAGATGGGAACGGAGCGCTTATGGGGTTGTCTTGAGCGCTGTGATATATATTTCTAATTCAACATTCAACTTTCTTAACTACATATCTCAGTAGATATTGCTGTTTTTGTTAACTACATATCTCAGTAGATAGTGCTGTTTTTCTTAACTACATATCTCAGTGGATATTGCTGTTTTTGTTCACTACATATCTCACTAGATAGTGCTGTTTTTCTCAACAACATATCTCACTAGATATTGCTGTTCTTTTCTTAACTACATATCTCACTAGATATTGATGTTTTTCTTAACTACATATCTCAGTAGATGTTGCTGTTTTTTTCTTAACTACATATCTCACTAGATATTGATGTTTTTCTTAACTACATATCTCAGTGAATATTGCTGTTTTTCTTAACTACATGTCTCAGTGATATTGCTGTTTTTTCTTAACTACATATCTCAGTAGACAGTGCTGCATTTCTCAACAACATATCTCGGTAGATATTGCTGTTTTTCTTAACTACATATCTTAGTAGATATTGATGTTTTTCTTAACTTCATATCTCAATAGATATTCCTGTTTTTCTCAACTACGTATCTCAGTAGAGTGTGCTACTTTTCTTAACTACACATCTCTGTAGATATTGCTGTTTTTCTCAACGACAAATTTCAGTAGATATTTCCGGTTTTCCTAACTATATATCTCAGTAGATATTGCTGTTTTTCTCAACTACATATCTTGTGTATATAGTTTTTACCTCTATATCATCTGACATTCTTTCAATATGCACATGCCATTTCAGTCTATTAGATCTCATGTCACCAGTGATCAATGGTGATTTAAACAGATTATAAATTCGTTGTTAATTCTCACTCTTCATTTACCGCTGTTTGCATCTTTAATGGGTCCACAGATTCGTCGTAAGACTCGAAAACCTGTAAGAAGGCTTCATCCCTTTTGGTGTTGTTGAACGTCAGCTAATTACTTTGTTATTTTGCAGTTTTCTGAGATTAACTTGTGTAATTTAAAACGATAACGGCCTCGGGGCTTTATGTAGCTCAGGGGCTTCAATAAGACCAAATCTGGTATTGGCAAACTAACAACCACATCGTTGAATTGTTTTAGTACATATTGTGTTGGTGTTGGAAAATAAACAACATTACTAAAATATATTTTTTAAAGTAAATACTTCCTGTTTGACATATTCTAATTTATTGAAGAAAGCTTGTTAAAAAAAAAAAAAAAACAAGTCTAGGAAAATTGACATATGTTTGTCAGGTTAAACGTGACAATAAGTTTGGCAGAACGTTCATCAAAGGAATGGCTGTTAGTAGATAAGGTAATGAGAATAAAATGACAGCAGACATGACATTAATAATATATTGAGCACAACACAGCATAAATCGGGTGATTTGGTTGGCATATCCAGTAAAATATGGCACTGTATGTTTGTTTGTGAAATAGTGCAAGTGCCCGGTATTTCTAAAAAAGGTGTTGTATAGGATGTTCTCTTTCCGGAGTTGTATTTCTTGTAATTCTTCAGAGTTGCACACTTCGAACAGTTGTAGGCTTCCAACAACTGAGTACATCCCAACACTTCCTAAGTTGTGCTCATTCCGAATGTCTACTATTTCCAAAGTTTTACTTTTCCTAAAATTGTACTATTCTCAAAGAAATCCCCCCCCCCCCCCTTTTCGCCATGTTTGCACTTCCAGAGTTTACACTCCCAATGTTGTACTATTCCAAGGGTTGTTCTTTTCTCAGAGTTCTACATGTCCTAAAGTTCTACACTTCCAGAGTTATGTATTTGTCAAAGTTGTACACTTCTCAAAGTTGGAACTGTTCCAGAGGGGTTCCCATCCCAAATCTGTTTACTTCCTAAAGTTGCATTTTTCCCAATATCAATGTCAGTGATCTGTTGCAGATGGCTGTGTTGATGTGTGTGTGCTTCATGGCGATCTGGGCGCCCTACGCTGTACTGAGTATCTGCTTCTCTTACATCCCAAAGTTTGACGTCACCGCTGTCCAATCCGTCATCCCCACGGTCCTGGCCAAGTTCAGTCACGTGACCAACCCGTTGGTAAGTTCATCATCGTCATTATCATAGACGTGATTATCATTATCATCTTATTATTGACATGAATATCATCATCACTATTATCATTGACGTGATCATCATTATCATATTTTTCTGGTGCAGCAAAAATGAAATCCTAATCTTTACATTCCACGGCGACAGCACTAGCCACGCGACCATGAATCCTTTGCATGCAAAGCAACGTGATAACTCAATCAGTCAATCAATCAGCATATCATTTACAGAACGTCTCTCTCTTCATAAACATTTATCTTTCTTTAGCCATTTCTCTAGCCCGATGTGCTTTCATAGTCAAAGCATCTCTAACGGTCTGTAGCCACCGTCGTGGAGGTCTATCTCTGCCTCGTTATCTGGAAACTGCACCCTCCCTCCATCACCGTTCTCTCTCCAACCGCAATGGGGCTTTTATGTCTGGATGCTGTTTACGAGCCAGTTGTCCTGGATGTTCAGACCTTGAAGGATGTCGCCAATTTTCATCTTCTCGGTCCAGGCTATTAAAAAAAAAATCTTCTGTGTCATTTCAGTTCTTAAGCTCCGATTTTCTTCTTTAGTGACCGAGTGAGAGTCCGCCACTCACATCGATAAGTTGTTATGGGAAAGATGCATGATCTGCAAATGTTTACTTCAGCTTACTTGCAGTACATGAAATGATAAACACATGCAGTACTGGTGGTCCAATCTGTGGTTAGCTCTTCTTTCTGTATTAACTCATGGTACGTTGATCGCGTCCATTACAAACAAATATCCAAGTAAATGTAAGATAGCAACAGACTGCGATACCCATAACCTCGACCACGGTAGACTAGTCCAACACACTTATCAATGAAGTTGACCTGCAACTGGTGTTGTGTAAATGGGGAGACCATCGTATAAATAACCGGGCCATTCACGCACTGACTGACCTTTCATTCACACTTTCCCAAATTCTGCTACGTTGGAGGGGTGTCACGCTGTCTTGCCTCCAACTACTTTAGCGCCGATATCGCATGTTCTATACTACAAAACGACACAACTTTTAACGACCCAAGAACATAGACAACTGGCCCCAATCCAAACCCTCCTACCCATAGTCTCAACCTTGGTAATACGGAAGTCTTTTTTAAAAGAAAGCAGTACAACATGACACGCCTCTGACCTAGACGGGCTTGGAAAACGTTAACAGGATCATATGTGCAAAAGAGGACTACCACCCCCCCCCCTCCCCACCCCCTTCCCCCCAAAAAAATCGAGAAACAAAAATATAATGAAAAGAAGGGGATCAGACATGAACATATTAGGAGACAAGTTGGGAGTCAACCAGTTCAAACTATATCATAAGATATTAGATCAAATGGTTCGGACGCATATCAAAACTACCACAAGGTAGCGCACCACAGATAACCTTGCCACTTAAATTCAATGGAAGCAGTGTTCACGGTCCACCAGGCAAGCAGTGATCACAGTCGACCAGGCAAACAATGACCATGGTCGACCAGTCAAACAGTGATCACAGTCGACCAGGCAAACGGTGATCACAGTCGACCAGGCAAACAGGGACCACAGTCGACCAGGCAAACAATGACCATGGTCGACCAGGCAAACAGTGATCACGGTAGACCAGGCAAGCAGTAATCAGGGTCGACCAGACAAGCAGTGATCACAGTCGACCAGGCAAACAGTGACCATGGTCAACCAGGCAAACAGTGATCACGGTCGACCAGTTAAACAGTGATCACAGTCGACCAGTCAAACAGTGATCACGGTCGACCAGTCAAACAGTGATCAATGTCGACCAGGCAAACAGTGATCACAGTCGACCAGGCAAACAGTGATCACAGTCGACCAGGCAAACAGTGATCACGGTCGACCAGTCAAACAGTGATCACAGTCGACCAGGCAAACAGTCATCACAGTCGACCAGGCAAACAGGGATCACGGTCGACCAGTCAAACAGTGATCATGGTCGACCAGTCAAACAGTGACCATGGTAGACCAGGCAAACAGTGATCACGGTCGACCAGACAAGCAGTAATCAGGGTCGACCAGGCAAGCAGTTATCACAGTCCACCAGGCAAACAGTGACCATGGTCGACCAGGCAAACAGTGATCACGGTCGACCACGCAAGTAGTGCTCACGGTCGACCAGGCAAACAGTGATCACGGTCGACCAGTCAAACAGTAATCAGGGTCAACCAGGCAAACAGTGGATGATGGAATATCCTAGTGCATGAAATCCAGCATCTATGTAGTAAACACAAAGGCATTCACCCGATGACTGTTCTTCTTCTTCCACTTCGCCTTTTCAGGCTGAAAACTCCAGGTGCAGTTCTGATTTTGGTCCACTTCTAGACTCTAGCCTTGTTCGAGAACCTGACTGTTGCGAGCACATCTGTTTAACACAACTGACTTATGTGTATGCTGATTGTTGGTTCATTGTTTCTCAGGCAGATGCGTTCAGAATTTGAAGAAAGCTCCCAGCTAGACATCATAGGACTGGCACTATAACCCACACGACGCTGATAAATATGTTGAGAGGGTAATGTGAGCGCCTATCCATGTGTCAAGAGAGCTGTGAAGATTATCTAACTCGTAGTCGACTCTTACGACATGCTTTTGTAGAGGCAGTGGGTCTATCCTTGTTTTTCCCCCACAATGGTGCCCCGAATCCCACACCTAAGAAAGATCGGGATTTATAATCTGGCTGACTGCACTGGTCTCAAATAGAAAATATTGCCTGAAATTGAACACCTGACCAAACAGGCAACTTTAACTCGGTGACCCGACAAGCCACAATTATGGAACTAGCTATATACAAGTGGCTTTGTTTTCTAATTTGGCAATCTAATTAGCCGTCATGATAACGTGCTCTGTCATTTTCAGTCTCTAATTAGCGGTGGGTTTAATGTGCGCAATATGCACATGCGGATTTTTGTGGTGTTTTAAAGAGGTTAATCCAAAAAGTTAGCAGTTCCATTCACTACTCAAAACACGGGGGAATCCTATTAGTTATTTCATACCAAAAAAAAAAAAAAAATAATAATAATAATCGAAATTACTATTTAATGTCGTCACCTATAAACCATTCTGACACTGGAGGGAGTTTTTGAGAGCCCTAATTACGCTTTAAAAATAAAAAATTAAAACTGATTAATAAAACACATTATTTACACTCAAGAAATCGTAACATCTTATGCTGAAACGTTGAAATGTAATTAAACACACGTCCTCTTTTACTTTTGTATTTCTCCTTCCACCTTCTTTCTCTTCTTCTTCTTCTTCTTCTTCTTCTTCTTCTTCTTCTTCTTCTTGTATTTTGTCTTAATGTATATGAAAATAACACCTCATTATGTCACCCAGAACTCTTTGTACCTGTTTTTATGAATACATGGAACTTACGGATACAATATTTTTTAATATTGAAAACGTATTGAATCAGTTTCCCAAGAACTCTTGTTAGTCACAGGTTATGACATCCATTCTTATCTCCACTCGCCATCCTAGGTGGCAATTTAGGTTTACCCGCTTTCAAATTTGGGTTGTCTTTTTCTTCTTCTAATCTTAGAATCCTTCAATTGACCGAGGTCTCGATTCTGGATAATTAGGTTCCTCAAGCTGTAGGGAAGGTCAGTGTCTGGTGAGGGATTTCTGAATCCAGAGAGAGAGAGAAGAGAGAGAGAGAGAGAGAGAGAGAGAGAGAGAGAGAGAGAGAGAGAGAGAGAGAGAGAGAGAGAGAGAGAGAGAGAGAGAGAGAGAGAGAGAGAGAGCTTCGTGTTGATTGTAACTAGGTTACGCAATTGAGGCACCAGGGGACGCCACTCGGAAGCATTGGTTTAATTGGAAAACAGGGGGGAATAAACGACTCCTTTCCGTGCCAAGATGGCGTTTTTCACACTAACACAGACAGCAAAATACCCAGTAGCCGTCAGGGCCCTAATATAACGGTCTTATATAGTTACACCGAGCTTCCGGGATGTGTACAGTTTAACCGAGCTTCTGGGATTTTTACAGTTTAAACGGGCTTTCGGGATGTGTACAGTTTAACCAAGCTTCTGGGATTTGTACAGCCCAGATTTGACGTGTCTATCAGGGACTTGGAGAAGTAGTAATCCAGTTTCGTCATTTTTAGGACGAAATTTTTTGTCATTTGAAGCCCTACTCTGGCTTTTGCCAGGGGCCGCAATATAGGCAGGCCATAAATATGGCCAAATGTCTGAACGCGGTTTCTGGGACCTCTCCACGGTGATCCTCATCCACATGGTGGCACGTTGTGTCATCGGGTGTTTGTCGCTTGTGTGATGTCGTAGTGGGGTAGAAAGTCACTCACTCACTTGGAGAAGTGGACAAACAACGTTCTGCCCTCTAGGCAGTGTGGTTTCATTGTGATGACCACATCTGGTGGCATTATGGACCACGAGGAGGCCCGAAGGAAACACTTGGGAGGCAAAATTCTGGGTTTCTTCTTTTAATGGCAGCCAGAGATTCAACATAATAAACATTGTTAAAATAAAATTAAAAAAAAAAATTAAAATCTCTTTTTGGGATGCTTACATCATGTCCAGTCATCTCCTTGTGAGGTGCAATGTTTCTCTTCTTTGTAGCCCCACCCTGGCTCTCGCCAGGAGCCTCAATATAGCCCGACCATAAAGTAAGTAAAAGTAAAGGACCCTGTTCCACGCCTTTAGGCGTATAGGGCTAGACCTATATTTTTATAGACCAACGGCACAAGATAGGTGATGTGCTCAGCATCACGCCGAAAAATTTGCTAGTCTAAGCTGCGAACAAATCTTCTTCTAGTCTAGGGCTGAGTCTCAACAGTTCGCAGTGAGGTGGCTACTCAGCTGATTAAGACACCCCGACCGAGAACTAAGTCGTCTACAAATGATTTCACACCTGCACGCCACATGGGGTAGCCCGACCATAAATATGGTCTAATGGCTGAACTCGGTTTCTGGGACCTCTCCACGGGTGATCCTCATCCACATGGTGGCACTTTGTGTCATCAGGTGTTTATCGCTTGTGTGATGTCCTGT